CTCAACAGAATAATCTGCAGCAACATCACTAATATTAACAGCTCAAAAACAACAACACAATTACATGCTATTTATTACAGAAATAAAACATTTTAAAAGTTTTAATCATTTTCACGTTAAATATAATTTATTTATTTCTTGTTTGTGTTTACTAGTCTCAACTTATGGTAATTACAATGGTAAAAAAATTATCTGTATCAATTGTGTTTTAAATTCAGTAGTTTTCATCAACTGTGCTACTAAACAGAATTAATTCTGGCATTAAATGAAACCTGTTCAGTACCACACACACAAACAAAATTAATTGTCACTAAATTATTACAATAATAAATAAACAGAGAAATACGTGTGTAAAGGATACGGGTTACAGAACATCCTTTTCAAATCTACTTTTTCCTTGCAGTACGGACATGTCTGTTTCTTTCCCACAATGCACCAGCCTCGAATACAAAATTCATGAAAACTGAACAGCAAGTTAAGGAATCAATAAAGAAACAGCACAAATCATAAACTTCAGATTTAAAACACTAATCTATATTATTAAGGTCTCCAAACACTTTTCATGATAACTTTTTGAAACACATTTGAACTTTACAGTGTATCATTATTAAACTTGTTTATGATAAATAATTTGAAATATCACAACAGAGATTCTGGCAAATTCAGATTTATACACAAGTCTGTAACCCAGTGATTTCAGCAACATATAAATTTGTTCTAAGTTCTCTGGTAATATTTTTAGAGACCCATTTTAATATCAAAATGGTAAATAATTTTACAATTATAAGAGAAAAGTAATTATAATGGGAAATATTTCCAATAAAATATGTCAGTTTCGACAATACATCTTGTTTTAACCAAATGTACAAGTTTTATTTGTACTTTTCCATTTATACCTGTATAAAGGTTTAAGATGAGGTGGGATACAGACATGTACACATATCAAATGACAATTATGTTTACATTATGTTTATCTTTCATAAATTTTGCAATTATAAGAATAAGAATCCTGCACATAAAACAACCAAATCCTATGTACATGAATCCACATAAAGGTAACTGTTCAAATATACTGAATGAATTAATGAAAGCAATGACAGCATGCACGTACTGATTATAGCATATTACACTACTCACAATTTTTTAATATGACCAATGGTAGGACACATTACAAGTTGCAAATGGTATGCAGACAATTTTTGAAATGAAATGACCACTCATTTTAAAGAAAGGAATATATTCAGTATTATATGCAGATGCAGTAAAACATTTAATATGAGCATCGTACAACAAATGTTTTGCCAAAATTTTCAGCAAAAGCAATCTCTAATTTTGATGCTGCTGTCATTTATTCTTTCAGAAAACTGACATCAATTGATACAGTTTAAAAGTCAGAAGTCCATGGTAAACCATCCAAAACTATCTCATCAAATTTTCTTTACACAACAGTCTCTTTTGATTGATCTAATTCTAAAAAATAGCTACAAGGAGTTATTGTCCACATTCACGTGTCCAAAATATAATACAAGCTATCACACAAGACTGACTGGAATATTGCATGTTGACCTATATCTTTAAAAAAATTGTTATTCTGAACTTTATCACACAGTACTTCTCAGATTCTGTAAAGCATATTTCAGACTGGTTACACTTATAAGACTAAGATAGAATTATTTTGTTAATATGCCTGTTAATTCTTAATTCGTTAAGATCTTCAACAGTCACATGGAAAAAAAGAAAGTGTAACATTTAGCAGTTAGTTATAAAAGCAAAAATTATTAATGTTTTCAATTATCATAAATATCTTTTTAAATCCAAATATTTTCTATACAAATTATGTACAATATCCCATTAGAAATGGTGCTTTCTTATCATTCTGGAATTCCCTACAGGTATTATCCATTATACATACTGTGTTTGGCTGGTATTAATTGATTTGTTTGTTTTAGTTTTGAATTTTGCCCAAAGCTACACAAGGGCTATCTATGCTAGCCATCCCTAATTTAGCAGTGAAAGTCTAGAGGGAAGGCAGCTAGTCATCAACACCCACCACCAAACTCTTGGGCTACTCTATCACCAATGAATATTGGGATTGCCCGTCACATTATAATGCCCCCAAGGCTGAAAGGGCAAGCATGTTTGATGGGATGGGGATTCGAACCCCAGGTTGTGAGTTAAGCACCCTAAACACCTGGCCTGGTATTAATTGATTGCTCATAGTGGCAAAATTTTCTTTTCACTGAAACTGCTTACTGGCTACCATGAGCTTTATTATTGCTTTCTCCTATGTACAGTTACCTGTAGGCCCCAATAACAAGAGATGCAAATCTCCTTAGATTTCAATAGATGTTTTTCAAATCTTGTAATCATAACTACCAAGGCAAAGACCTCAGAAGATTTATTCTTCAAGCCCATTCTATTAATTACAGGCATCTTTCTATAAATATTAAAAACAAATAAGTAACAATAACTTTACAAAAGTATTTTATACAAAAGTTTTATATTACCAAAACAAAAAGTTAGTTGCCATTTTTCTTGTATATAATACTTTGCTATTATAGGAGATGGTTGAACCTTTTTTCCATTTTCTATGAATATCACACTGTTATAATTACTGTATTACCTCTCAACAACACTCTTCTAAGTGAATTGATGCAAAATCAAATTATTAGTTTGTTTATGACATCAATCACTCACTTTCTAGATTCAAAAGTTTACCTATCACATTTAGAATAATAAAGACTTAAATTACAATATCATGTGTATTATCAGGTTAAAAATTATAAAAATGTCATATTCAAAGTACTTTAATAGATTGAAAACAAAACCATTGTAACCTTTTAGATATCGGTTTTCTTTGTACTTTAAATGATTACAAAAAAATTTATAAAACTAATCAGTTGTACATGATAAAAAGATTTAAATTTTCACACTTTTGAAAAACCAAAACCAAAAAAGGAAACATGTACCCACAAGCTTTAAATTTTATATTAACATACTTTTGAGAAAACCAAAACCAAAAAAGGAAACATGTACTCACAAGCTTCAAATTTTATATTAACATACTTTTGAGAAAACCAAAACAAAAAAAAAGGATACATATGTTCACAAGCCAACTTGTAGGTTTTCTCTACAATGGCCTCCGAATTGTTTTGCACAAGGATTTTATTCCCACAAACTGCACAGACATTTGGTTCTAACTGACGGACTGGAATTCCAGTTGGTGTATAGTACTGACAAGTTAGAAATTAAATTATTCAAACATTTGATTGCAATTTATTAGTCAAATTATATGACAGCACACAAACATAACCAAAATTATTAACTAAGCAAATGAAAACTAGTCGTTTTTTATGTATTTCAAGTAATTTTTTAAAGCAAATTCACTACAAGTAACTAAGATAAAGACTATGTGCTGAAATATTAAAATAACCAAGTCTACAAAACTGTGGCTTATTTAACCCATAAATATACAATATTGGTAGTTATTTCATATTTCATGTAACACTTTAGTTCTTTTAATTAGTTAATTAAATTTTCTAGAAACTTATTATTAAGTAATTAGAAATTATAACTTTATTTCTGCACGAGTAAAAAAAAGTTTAATGAGACTTTTAATGTTCTGAGTTAACAATCAAAGACCCAAGTTTCTACATTCACCTTGTCTGTAGAAGGCTCACTTTTTTAAACCAGAGAGCATAGATATCAGTCAAAAGTAAGCATGTAAATCAATTTAAACTTGTTATAAACTAGTTTATTGAGTCTGAATTCTAAATTACTTATGTCTGCAGTGATAATACTTATGACAACTATACAAAAGTTATTTCAGCATACATGTTAAAGCTGTGTATTTGAGAAAAATACTAATTGTCCTTTTAAGAAAAACACATCTAAATAAAATTAACAATGTTAAATTTAATGAAAATTAAAGAAACTATTTTATATATATTTATATATAATCATCGTCTGTGTTTTATTCCACAGAGGAATTCTACTTCTTGTAGAGTATACTAATTCAGCTGCATAAGCAGTAAAAATCTATTTATTCTACTTAGTCATAAAAACTTCAGCTTCAAATCTTCAACATTTTATCTGAATGTTTGAAAATAAAAATATTCTACTATGAAAAAGAATTGAATATTTTCAGTTTAGACCAGTACCAAAAACTTTAGTTTTATACAAACTATATTAAAAGGCAAATAATTTAATTAAAAATAATTAATTTGAAATAACAGCAATCAGTTTGTATATTTAACATGAGAAAGACATAACATAAAATTATTTCATTGATACCAACTGGAAAATCAAACAAACAGAAAAGAAAAACTGAAACAATAAAGTAAATACATCAATGTCCATTAATTTTTTTGATTCATGTAAAAATATGAAAAATATTTTTAAAAAAGGAACACACATATAATATATATCGCATTACTGTTATTGGTCCAGGTTGTCAACTTACTGTCATAATGGATAATGTCTGTTATAATAGCACCCAATGCACTGGGAATGTCCCATCTATCAGACAAATTCCAAATGCTGATGTCAATGTAGTCAGCCATCATGGAAAATCATAAAAAATGTCAATCAAATAAGGGTTCAAAGCTGAGTGCTTACACCCATAACGTTTCAGCTTCTACTGCCTTTCACTGTCTATAGTCAGTTGTGGGAAGGCAGTTACCCTTAAATTTCTTAAAGTAGAAATGAGTTGAAATGAAGCCACCCTAATATTTCTACTAATTCAACTCCCAACCTCCACCCTTACAAAAAAATATTAAACAGAACTATAAAATATTGAATAGAACAAAACAGAACGATAAAATATTGAACAGAATAAAACAAAACTATAACAGATTGAATAGAATAAAACAAAACTATAAAGTACTGAATAGAACAAGATAGAACTATAAAATATTGAATAGAACAAAAGAGAACTATAAAATATTGAATAGAACAAAAGAGAACTATAACATATTGAATAGAATAAAACAAAACTATAA